GGGAGGCAGAGCCAGGCGGATCTCTGTGAGTTCGAGGCCAGCCTGGGCTACCAAGTGAGCTCCAGGAAAGGCGCAAAGCTACGTAGAGAAACCCTGTCTCGAAAAAAAAAAAAAAAAAAAAGAAAAGCTGGGCTAAAAAGAAACATACATAGAGCAAGATTCTGGTACTTACATAGATGAGGTCAGAGTGAAACACAAGGCTGGTCCCACAGGATATATGGTTTCAAGATGAGCTCAGTATGTTTCATGGTGACTGAATGCAAGTATCACAGGTATTGAAGTCATGGTGTTTGGAATATAGGTCCATGTAGGTAGGAAGACAGATGTGAATACACAAATACAAAGAACTAGCTGGAGAGAATAACATCTGAACTGGGGAAAGAAATGAGTTCCATCAGCCACCACAGGTGTTTGAGGTCTGCTGTTGTTTGTTTTACTCTGATATTTCAGCCTTTGGATTAGAGGGAGGCCAAGAGGTTGGGACTGGTTCATAGGGTAGCAGGTGGCAGCTTGACCAAAGGCAGTGGGTAAAAAGAGACCTACATTCAGGTTTGCTAGTAATGAGCTGGGGCTTTAGGGATGAATGGGTACCTGAGGTCTGCTCAGTTGATTTGGAGTGGGAACGAGTAATTTTGAGGTAAAAGAGGATTCTGCTGCAATCATGTTAGTATAGAGCTTTTGTGTACTTGGGGGAGCCCAAGACTAGATGATGTCACCTAGAGCCATAGGCTTGGTTGAGACTTACATCCTAAATTAGGGTCTCATTCAAAGTTCTAATAGATGATGAACTATCAAGGTTAGAAGTGTAATGAGAGGAGAAAGCCTGAGAATCTGTTGAGGAGGGGGCCATGGAGAATTTGCAGAGGGAGTAGACAGCTGCTAGTACAGAGGTCATGGGAGATAGAGACTAGATAAGGTCACTGGATAGTGTAATCCCTGAGGAAGGTATTAGTCATGTGCTAGGTGGACTCTGGGGGCAGAAGTAAGAAGTGGAGATAGGTTCCATATTGAGGAGGTACCTTCTGGGGTATGTGTGTACATGTGTGTGCACATGTAAAGGCCAAAGGTCAATGTCAGGTGTCATCCTCGTTGCTGTCTACTTTATGTTTTGAGATGGAGAGGCTGGCAGTGAGCCTAGAACTTGTTCCTTTGGCAAGACTGGCTTACCACCATGCCTAGCTTTTACATGGATGCTGGGCCTCTGAACTCAGGGCCTTCTGCTGTATGGCAAGCACTTTATCCACTGAGCCATTTTCCAAGCCCTAGAGGGTGTCTTCTAAAGAAGGTGCTCTTGAGAGAGCTCATACTGAAAGGACAATGTAAGAAGAGGAAAAATGACCAGGTAGTTTATGAAATACGGTTTGAGAGGCACAGATAGGCCTGGGGATTATTGCTATATTGCCTTGTCCTTTCTCCATAACAAGAGGCTGAATTCTTTGCTGAAAGTAGAGGGTGAGGCAGGGGGTACAAAGGGTTCTCTTGTACTTTGTGGATACATCTGAGATTCAAGTGAAGGTTTTATGGGAGAGCATGGCATTGGTTTCTTGACTATCTCCAAAACCTACATTTTTATGTGTTGTCTGGTTTTGCCAGCCTTTGTGTTACCATCATCTCTAGAATTTGTCCTCTTGCCAGGTGGGTGAAGAGGGACAGCTACCTTCCTGTGGGCAGTCATAATCTCAAGGCAGCTGCCAAGGCCAAACTTGGCTATGACCCTGTAGAGCTGGACCCCGAGGACATGTGTCGTATGGCCACTGAGCAGCCTCAGGCACGTAAGCCCATTTGCTCTTCTATGCATCCCTGAAGTCATAGACATTCTGACTAGAGAGAGTAGGTTACCTGAGATGTGGGTGCTAGCTTTCCGTGGCCCACTCCTGCTCAGCCTTGCCTCCTCCTTGAACTTCATTTTCTGTATGTAGTTCATGAATTTCCTTGGATCCTTGGTTTTTAATGCGTCTGCTCTCTGATGTTCTCCCCAGACTCTGGCCACTTACTCAGTGTCAGATGCTGTTGCCACTTACTACCTGTACATGAAGTATGTCCATCCCTTCATATTCGCCCTGTGCACCATTATTCCCATGGAACCTGATGAGGTTAGTACCACCTATGGTCTTCTAATCATCCTCTTCTCTTTTCTATATGCACTGATGCTCAGAGGTGGGCTAGTCCTAGAGACTGATAGTGAACTGCTGTGTGTGGCTTCATGGGCATCTTCCTGGAGTCCAAGGGTTCCAGTGTGAAAATAGCCACAGGAAGGAGGAACTGCTGTTGCTAGCTACAAAACTTTCCTTTCACATGCAGTCAAGGTTAGATGCCTTTCTGGCAGTCATGGACTTTGCTGAGGAGTCAGAGCTTTTGACAGAGATTTGGGGTAGCTAGATGCAGCATCTTCCTTGCAGGTGCTGCGGAAAGGCTCTGGAACACTGTGTGAAGCCTTGTTGATGGTGCAAGCTTTCCACGCCAACATTATCTTCCCCAATAAGCAAGAGCAGGAGTTCAACAAGCTGACAGATGATGGCCATGTGCTGGATGCTGAGACCTACGTGGGGGGCCATGTGGAAGCACTAGAGTCTGGTGTCTTCCGAAGTGATATCCCGTGCCGGTTTAAGATGGTATGCCTCCTTCCTAGGTCTTCTGGGGTTATGCTTTTTCCCATTCTTGTGCTATTGTATACCCAAGAAGCCATGGCCTAAAACAAGTCTTTATCTCCATCTCTCCTATAGGCCACTTCTGTCAGGTGGTTTGTCTGGCTTAGTACCATTCCCACCCCCTCTTACATAATATGAACCTCCATCAGGGCTTCCTAAGACACAGTACACTTGCAGAGCATTCTCTGGCACATCCTGCCATGTATCATACTGGAGGCAGATTTAAAGATCTATCTGACCTGTGCCCTTTCCTTTCTTAAACCAGAATCCTGCAGCCTTTGATTTCCTGCTACAGCGAGTTGAGAAAACTATGCGCCATGCCATTGAAGAAGAAGAGAAGGTGCCTATGGAACAAGTCACCAACTTTCAAGAGGTAGCCATCCAGGAGGCAATGAATTGGCCTATATTTGGATCTGCTCTTTCTTATATGCCTAAAGCATCTCAGGCTCTTGATGTGGTTTTGTCATACTGCCTCTGGGACCTGCTGTTCTATCTTCATTATCTTTTATTGTACCTAGGTCTCCTTTTTTTCTCTCCACCCCCTTACTTATTTATTTGTTTGTTTGTTTATTGTGGTTTTTCGACACAGGGTCCTACCTTTGCCTCTGAAGTGCTGGGATTGAAGGCATGTGCTACCACCAATGTTCCCTTGTTTTTCCCATCTCTGTAGGTGTGTGATCAGATTAAGGCCAAGCTCACCTGCCTAAAAGATGTTCCTAACAGAATAGAATGCCCTCTTATCTACCATCTAGATGTTGGGGCCATGTATCCTAACATAATCCTTACAAACCGCCTGCAGGTGAGACCTCAACTTCCCACAACATAATCATCTCTCTTGCAGACCCAAGTTGTTTTCTGACCCTCCCCTCCTCTTATAGCCTTCTGCCATAGTGGATGAGGCCACCTGTGCTGCCTGTGACTTCAATAAGCCTGGAGCAAATTGTCAGAGGAAGATGGCCTGGCAGTGGAGGGGAGAATTCAGTGAGTGATGGGCCCTAAAGATTGCTCAACAGAGCAGGACAGACCTAGATTCTGATCTTGGAATCTCTCCCATTACTTCCTTTCCAGTGCCAGCAAGTCGCAGTGAATACCATCGAATCCAACATCAGCTGGAGTCAGAGAAGTTTCCTCCTTTGTTCCCAGAGGGGCCAGCCCGGGCCTTTCATGAGCTGTCCCGTGAGGAACAGGCTAAATATGAGAAGCGGAGGCTGGCAGGTGAGTACTTGGCAAGGCCACAGCTTGACAAACAGTGGCTCCTTTGATCAGAGATATGCAGCTCCAGGGCAGTAGAATTTTAGATTCAAATTATGTTCTTTCTGGAGGGTTCCTTTCTTTGTTTCGTCTTTGCAAATGCTCAGGAAGTAACCTTTGTCACAATTTTGGTATCAAGTGGTTAGTGCTTGGGGACTGTTCTCTTTTACAATGATGATTAGCAGTGTGTCTGGGTTTTCCGTTCATTTGTGTTACCTTAGGAAAGTGAGCATACCTGTGTCCCAGCTTGCTCTTTTGTTGTCTGGAAGATCTCAGCTACCACTCCAACACTCTGAATTATCTTAGATTATTGCCGGAAAGCCTATAAGAAGATCCATATGACCAAGGTAGAAGAACGTCTGACAACCATCTGCCAGCGGGAAAACTCATTTTATGTGGACACAGTTCGCGCCTTTCGAGACAGGCGCTACGAGTTCAAAGGGCTGCACAAGGTGGGTCAAAATAGACTGGTTTCTGAAGTGAGAGGGTCTTTGACTCTGTGGAAACACCTTGGTCTACAGCTGTAGTATGTGGGGATCCTGTGAGCTGCCACATGCATTTGTATAATAAATGCACAGTTGTCTATAAACATAAAGAATTGATAGCCAGAAAGAGTAGAGATTGATTGTCATAGCCTAAGCCCTTGGAACCATGCTGATCAAGTGTTTCAGAAGTAATTATGTAGATCCACACTTGTAAAAGACACTATCTGTGCTGATAAAGTCTGACTGAACTAGATACATCCATGAGTTGACTGCTTTCCCAGCACAACAGGTAAGTAAGTAGTCCTTATAGACTCTAAGGCTACCACCACATACACTACATTTAACCCTCTGATTTAGAGGAATAAAGTGAATGTTTTTTTCTTCTTGCTCTCTTTCCCTTTCCCTTTCCCTCTCTTTCTTGATTTTTCAAGACAGGGTTTCTCTGTGTAGCCCTGACTGTCCTGGAACTCACTGTAGACCAGGCTGGCTTCAAACTCACAGAGCTCCCCCTGGGATTAAGTGAGTGCCACCACTGCCCCACTGGCTTTGTTTCTAGATCATGATGACAATCTTGATGGAAGGCATGGTAGACAAGAAGTACTAACTTTATGGGGACAGATGGCACATGGAATAAAGGAAATGTGCTAAGGTATTAACAGGTGGCCAGTCTAAAGAGGGAGTGGTCTTTGTCTTTTCTCAAGTTCTCTGTGGATTTGAAAGTTGTTCTTTTGGTTTTTGTTTTAGATTTTTTTTTTTAATTTTATGTGTTTGAATGCGTTACTTGCATGTATATATATATATATATATATATTATGTATGTATGTATACCTGATGGTCTTAGAGGTCAGAAGAGGGCATCAGATTCCCTAGAACTGTAGTTACAGATGATCATGAGCCATCATGTGGGTACTGGGAAACGAACTTGGGTCCTCTGTGAGACCCTCTGAGCCATCTCTCCAACTCCAGATTTGAAAGGTTTTAATACTGAAAATTTTAACTTGTTGACCTTTGTGGGCTGAAATCAGAGAAGCTGTAAGGTACTTAGGTTCACCAATTTACTTCCAGGTATGGAAGAAGAAGCTCTCAGCAGCTGTAGAGGTGGGTGATGCATCGGAGGTGAAGCGCTGCAAGAACATGGAGATCCTTTATGACTCACTGCAGCTGGCTCACAAGTGCATCCTCAACTCCTTCTATGGCTATGTCATGCGCAAAGGGTATGGGCCACATGCAGTAAATGAACAAACAGGGAGGGAATGAGCAAGATGTGATGGCCAAAAAGCAAGAAGTCGGGGGTGTCTTGACAGGTATTGACGGAGCCAGCAGATAAATGTGTATTAATGGGAGTGCTCTTCCAGCTTACAAAATGTTGGTGACACAAGCTTAGTTGGGATTGGGTCCATGGGAGTAGGGTTCACATTGGCTCAAGGATCTGGGTGTTGGCTTGCTGCTGAATACCTTGATTTAAATATAATGGCCTAGAGATAAGATTTGTTCATTTTGACATTTTTATGTCACTGTATCATCACTAGAGTGGGAAGGACTTTTAAGTAATGTTTAATAGCATCAGGTTATTTAAGGGGTGGGCAGAGGAATGACCAATGAAGGGCATAGAACTTGACTGACGGCTGAAGTCTCACAGCCAAGGTGGAGACTGTTCTAGGGAGAAACAAATCAGTTGAATGTTCAGGAACATAGAAGAAAAGGGTGCTGTTAACCTGTAGTTCTGTAGAAAAGGAAAGAGAGCTGATAGGGTTGATTAGGTCATATCTGATTGTGTTTGTATGTTGGTGTTTTTTAAATGTGGGTATGGGTGTGGGTATGCACATACTACAGTGTTCATGTAAAGGTCAGAGGACAACTTTGGAGAGTCAGTTCTCTCCTTCCACCATGTAGGTACATTGTTTCAAACTTAGGTCATCAAGCTTGGTAACAAGAACATCAACCCACTGATCCATTTTACCAGCCCTGTTTGTTTTTTGGGTTGGTTTGGTTTGTTGGTTGGTTTGTTTTGTTTGAGGGGGAAGGAGGTCAGGTTGAGACAGGGTTTTTCTGTGTAACCTTGGCTGTCCTGGAACTAACTCTGTAGACCAGGCTGTCCTGGAACTCAAAGATCTGCTTGCTTCTGCCTCCTGTATACTGGAATTAAAAGTGTGTGTCACCACCACCCAGCTTATTTTTTTTTTAACACTTTTAATAATGTATTTATTCTTATTTTATGTGCATTTGCATTAGTGTTTTGCTCACATGTATGTCTGTATGAAGGTGTCAGATCCTCTGAAACTGGAGTCACAGCTGTGAGCTGCCATGTGGGTGCTAGGAGTTAAACCCAGATCTTCTGGAAGAGCAGCCAGTGCTCTTAACTGCTGAGCCAGCTCCCCATTTGTTGGTTTTTAATGAGAGTGGATTTGCTAAATGCTGCTGAGTCAGAATGGAGACAGAACAAGGAAGAGGTCTAAGCCCAAAGAATGAGGTGGTAGGTAGGATGAGCTGGCAGGAGGCTAACTGCTTAGAGTTTCTAAGGGCCAGGTAGGTGAGGGTAGGATTTGGGAAGAGCTAAGACAAGAATGAAAAAGGCATAGGAGTAGAGTGGGATTGAGAGTCCTACTGACCTTGAAATTGTGACCTGATATGTGATGGCATGTTAACCCTTCCAGAACTTCCTTGAGCCACACTGGCCACCAGGGATAGAAGTACCCTCAGGACAAAGCCAAATTCCACCTTAGTTCTGTCATGCTTCAAATATGTTTGGCTGTTTCCATCATCTCCTGGGAATCCTTTGCCTCTCCTGATTCCCTGTGGAGGGAGCCTCCTGTCAGTCGTGCTCACCATAGACTTTTGGCTGTCCTTTCCAGGGCTCGCTGGTACTCCATGGAGATGGCTGGTATCGTCTGCTTCACAGGAGCCAACATCATCACCCAGGCAAGAGAGCTGATTGAGCAGATCGGGTGAGTGTGGCCTGGGTTGGCTGCAGGGCTTGCACCATAGGGGCATGGGAGGGGCAGAAATAGGAAATCGTAAAGACTAGGAAGACAGAACTGGGTTTGATGTTATTGTATTTGAGATATTCGACACTTGGCTTCTAAGGACTTGTGACCATGACTCTGTATCCATGAACTTTACTCCTTTCTTTGAAGGAGGCCCTTAGAACTGGACACAGATGGAATATGGTGTGTCCTACCCAATAGTTTTCCTGAAAATTTTGTCATCAAGACAACCAATGTGAAGAAACCCAAACTGACCATCTCCTATCCTGGTGCCATGTTGAACATCATGGTCAAGGTAAGTGAGTCTGCAGGAAAAAAACACACCATTCTGACCTCTGGCCTGTTCCCAGTGTGGCTATTTGGAAAGATCGCAGCTGGTGACATCTTTGGCCCCATACAAAAACCACACATCTGTGATGCTCTTTTTCCTAATTCCTCAGCTGTCATAGTCAGACTGTTAGATTCAAGTTGCAAAGAAAATTTCTTTCACTTTCACAGAACCATACTACTTTTGCTCTTAATTTTATTTTAAAACAATTTAGAACTTTAGACAAAAGTTTCAAAGATAAAAGGAAGATGGGGATATGGCTCAGTAAAGTGGTTGTTATACAAACATGAGGACCTGAGTTGGGATCCCTTGCACCATTGTAAAAGCTGAACATGTCAGCAACCATTTAGTTCCCGTGCTGGCCCGGGGACACAAGGAAAGGTTAATGCCTGGGCATCCTTGGCCAGCAAGCCTAACCAAATTGATGAACTCTGGGTTCAATGGGAGACCCTATTTTAAAAAACAAAGTGGGGCAAGCTGGGCAGTGGTGGTGCACACCTTTAACCCCAGCACTTGGGAGGCAGAGGTAAGCAGATCTCTATGAGTTCTAGGAAAGCTAGGGCTACACAAAGAAACCATGTCTCAAAAATAAATAAATAGCCGGGCGGTGGTGGCACACGCCTTTAATCCCAGCACTTGGTAGGCAGAGGCAGGTAGATCTCTGTGAGTTCGAGGCCAGCCTGGTCTCCAAACCGAGTTCTAGGAAAGGCACAAAGCTACACAGAGAAACCCTGTCTCGAAAAAAAAACAAAACAAAAAACAAAAAAAAAGTGGGGAACTGTAGAAGTAACCATCTTATTAAATAAGAAACACAGAGCCAGTGTAAAGATAAAAGCCCAAGAGGTCAGAGCTAAGAGCCTTACCCTTCCTGCTTCAGTGATCCTCTTCAGCCAAGAGAGACCTTCTTCCTGTGTGTTTGTCTTTATATAGACTTTCTATTCTGCCTTCTCATTGGTTGTAAACCCAACCACATGACCGCCTCGTCACTGCCTGTCTGTATAGACCTCCAGGTTTTCTATGGTTGGTATTGAGATTAAAGGCGTGTGTCTCCAATGCTGGCTGTATCCTTGACCACACAGAGATCTACCTAGCTCTGCCTACCAAGTGCTGGGATTAAAGGCGTGCACCACGAACGCCCAGCTCGCTATGGCTTACTACTAGCTCTGACCCCCAGGCAACTTTATTTATTAACATACAAATAAAATCACAATTCAGTACAAATAAAATATCACCATAGGGAACAGTTGAGGCAGACATCCAGCATCAGCAAGGCTTCCACATGCACACATACAACATACACCACACACAAATAGTGCAGAGAACTGTCTTTCAGGCAGCTTCTCCTAATGTTAACATCTGCCTAAAGTATCAAATGAAGAAATGTATGTTGGTATACCCTGTAACTAAACTACATATTTGGAGTCCCCACTTCCAGGTGTTCATACTGTGTCCTCTTTAACCTGGACAGTGCCTTGGTCTTTGCTTTGCTCTGGAATCTTGTTTTCTGCTGTAAGTTTGAAGTTCTCATTATAAGGCTAATTGTTATTTGGGTTTCCTTGGAGGAATATGAGGGTGATGCCTGATCATCACTTCCTCATCTTTTGGGGCATAGGCTCTATCACCAGGTTGTCCACATCAGCCTGGTGTCTCCACAAGGAGGTCCCCCAACTCCCTGGTCACATGCTATTCTTTCCTTAGTAATCACACCCAAGGGTCACTGTCTTCCCTGAAGGAATGAGCATCAAAGAGCATCTGGGCATGTGTTAGAGCCACCACAGTAATTAACAAGTATCATGAAGGCATGTTTTGAAATGTTCCTTAAACTTTATAACTCCTGACTTTTGCAGGTATCAATAGTGTCACCTACACCACTGTCAGTTTCCTGCGCTGGTGTTTCTTCATGGCAGTTTGCTGTTTATCCCTTCTGCTTGATCATTGGAATTCTATAACAGATAGTTGTTACTGCTTCTTCATTGATTGGTTTATAGCAGTGTGGATTTATGGGCATCTTTTATACTTAGGATGATAATCCAGTATGATCCTCCAAGTCTTTTCTTGCTCAATTTGTTCCTTGCCGGCCACAAGGACACACACTTGTTTCCTTTTTTGGATCGTGTGTTTGGAGCATTTTCTTAGTTGGTACTATAAGATACTCCAGTCTTACTTGTATTTTCCTGTCTTAGCCCCTGGAGTCAAGCATTTCTTCAAGGAGCCTCTCTCCCCTACTGAAACACTGGCAACTCTTGATGTGTTTTTGTGCCATCTTTTTGCCTTTCCCTGAGGGTCATATATATGAAAACATAACATGCAACCCGAATCTTACAAATTACACTTGGGACTTGGTGTGTTGCTGTGTGTGTCAAAACCACCAGTTAAATCCATTGTGTGGTAGAGCTTGTTTGCTGGCCCACAGACTCCCTGAGGAGAGGAGGTGTTTCCTGGTTGTGAGCCCTTAGCAGTGAGGTTGCCTTTCTTGTTTTTGGTTCTTAGGAAGGCTTCACCAACCACCAGTATCAGGAACTGATGGAGCCTTCCTCGCTCACCTATGTCACCCGCTCTGAGAACAGCATCTTTTTTGAAGTTGATGGACCATACCTTGCTATGATACTCCCAGCCTCTAAGGAAGAAGGCAAGAAACTGAAGAAGAGGTAGGAATCTCAGAGCCTTATATTTTGGCAAGGAAATGTAGTAGATGGACAAGACTTAAGGACTTAGGAGAGAAAATGGACCTGGAGCCAAAATGAGAACAAACTGGGTGGGTTTTTGGTTTTTTGTTATTTGTTTTATTTACTCAATTTGAGGGGGAAAAATTAGATGCTGATGTGTCAGCCTTCACACCCTGATCTATTCTGGTTCTGTGAGCAGTGGCGCTTTAATGCATTCCAGTTTGCTAAAGCATCAACCTAAGGGTAGAGTTGTGCTTGCTGCCTCAAAGATGACAAGAGGGCCAGGCAGTGAAGAAGGAAGGCAAAGGGGAGACAGAAAGCACCCAGCACCCTGAGGGTCATTTCTCTATTGGTGCCTCCCTTGCTTTTCAGATACGCTGTATTTAATGAAGATGGTTCCTTGGCTGAACTGAAAGGTTTTGAGGTGAAACGCCGAGGGGAGTTACAGCTGATTAAAATATTCCAGTCCTCAGTGTTTGAGGCCTTCCTCAAGGGCAGCACACTGGAGGAAGTGTATGGCTCTGTGGCCAAGGTGGCTGACTACTGGCTCGATGTGCTCTATAGCAAGGTAAGGCTCCACCTGCCTCCCCAGCTGGCTCTCAGGAGTATCTTTCAGGCATCAGACTTGTATCCTAGGGTCTTAGAGAACCAGGTAACAGATGATCTGGGTCACTGATGAACTCTGGCTTCCTGAGGCCTGGTACTCTAAAATTCCCCAGGTTTATGGAGCACCAGCATGATAATAAAAGGAATCATCAAAGGAAAACTTACCAATTATCAAATCAATATCTTTGATTTGAAGTCTTTGGAGACAGTATTTCTCTGTGTAACAGTCTTGGGTGTTCTGGAACTCTATTTGTAGACCAGGCTGGCCTCAAACTCATAGAGATCTGCCTGCCTCTGCCTCCCAAGTGCTGAGATTAAAGGCATGCACCACCACTGCACAGCATTTTTATTTGTTTTATGTGTTTTGTGCCTGTATGTGTGTGTGCTGTGTGTGTGTATCTTGTGCCCTCAGAGGCCAGAAGACAGCATCAGATTGTAGCCGAAGTTTTCCTGAGTCCCGACCAGTCCTGCAGCCTCTCGGACCCAATTAAAAACACAGCTTATATTACTTACAAACTGTATGGCCTAATGGCTCAGGCTTTTCACTAGCTATAACTTAACCCATTTCTATTAATCTATAAGTCACCCCATGTTCCATGGTTTTACCTATATTTTCACATCTTGCTTCTCCTGGCGGTGCTGGCATCTCCTGAAGGTGCTGGCGTCTCCTGACTCTGCCCTTCTTCCCAGCATTCTCCTAGTCTGCTCACCCCGCCTATAGTTCCTGCCTGGCCAATCAGCATTTTATTTATCAGCCAATCAGAGCAACTAAAGCATACAGAAAGACATCCCACAACATCAAATCTCCTCTAAGTGGAATTACAAGGCGGTTTTAAACTGCTATGTAGGTTCTGGGAACCAAACCTGGGTCCTCTATTAAGAGATGCTCTTTTTGAATGGGAGGGGGGCAGGAAGGGGGAGAACAAGGGAATCTGTGGGTGTTATGTAGAACTGAATAGTATTGTAAAATAAAAAATAAAAAAAAAAGATGCTCTTAATAACTGTTGAGCTATCTCTTCAGCTTCTTTTTTAAAAACTTTTTTAAAATTACGTTTATTTGTTTGTTTATTTATTTTGTGAGTGTGTGTGTGTGTGTATGTGTGTGTGTGTGTGTGTGTGTGTGTGTGTGTGTGTGTGTGTGTGTAAGAGAACAACTTATGGAAGTAAGTTCTTTCCTTCCCCCATGTGCGTGTTGGGAATTGAACTTGCAAGCCCTCAGACTTGGTGGCAAGTACCTTTACCTGCTGAGCCATTTTGCTGGACCTGATTTTTTTTTTTCTGGCAAGGGGTGGGGTGGGGTGGGGTAGGATCAGGGTTGAAGATTTAAGACAGGACTTCTCTGTGCAGTCCTGGCTACTCTGGAACTCACTTTGTAGACCAGGCTGGTCTTGAACTCAGAGATCTACCTGCCTCTGCCTCCCAGGTGCTGGGATCAAGGGCAAGATAAGAGTCTCATTGTATAGCCCTGGCTGTCCTGGAATTTGGTATGTAGACTAGGTTGGCCTTGAACTCAGAGATCCTCCTGCCTCTGCCTCCTGAGTGCTGCTACCACACCCAGCTACACACATAATTTTTATAATTTATCCCCAGCATTACAAAAGAAGGAAAGGAGGGGATACAGGGCAGTGAAAGCTTGCCTTTAGTTCTGCCTCCGACTCTTTGACTATTTCTGTAATCTTGTATGTTATGGGCAACTTATCATTCCATCTGTTTGCACATTTTCCATCAGTGAGGAAGTTTCAGAATCCCATTGTTCCAACCGATGGCATATGAACTTCAATCCTTTTGGACAGATGTCACCGTATCTTCTGTCTTGGGCATAATTATTCTCCATACTATATGGCTTTTATACTTACTGCTCATACATATTTCTTGATAGTTTGTACACAACTTAATAAGATAAAAGGTTAAAGAGTTTTATGTGCCTTTTTTTCCTATTACATTAATTTTGAGGCTGGGGGACACTCAAGTGCCACAGTGTTCCTGTGGAAGTCAGAGGAAACTTGTAGGAAATGGTTCTCTTCTTACATCATGTGGGTTCTGGAGGATCAAATTCAGATTATCAATGGCTGGCGAGATGGTTTAGTGGTTAAGAGGACCAGGATTTGAGTCCTAGCACCCACATGGCAGATCACAATTGTCTGTAATTTCAGCTTTAGGAGATCTAGCACCATCATCTGGTCTCCATAGTCACAAGGCACACAAGTGGAGTACAGACATACATTCAGACACCTATACACAAATTTTACATTCAAAAACAAAACCTCAGGTTGTCAGACTTGGCAGTAGGCATCCACTGCCCCATCCCACAAATACTTAATGCATTAACCAAGGGCGGTAGGGCAGCAATCTCTGTCTCTGTCTCTGTCTCTCTCTCTCTCTCTTTTAATGACATTACTCAGCCCTTTGGGAAATCCAAAGCCTGCCTTCAGCTTTTCAGGGCAGAAATTGATACAATCCTATAGAATCAAAGTGAGTATGGCCTTCATCTTCCTGGCATCTGTTGTTTCTCTCTAGGCTGCTAACATGCCTGATTCTGAATTGTTTGAGCTGATTTCTGAGAACCGTTCCATGTCTCGGAAGCTAGAAGATTATGGGGAGCAGAAGTCTACATCCATCAGCACAGCAAAGCGCCTGGCTGAATTTTTGGGAGACCAAATGGTCAAGGATGCTGGACTAAGCTGTCGCTATATCATCTCCAGAAAGCCAGAGGGATCTCCTGTCACTGAGAGGTAAAAGCCTCCTTAAAGAGTTGAACAGATGGGTGCATGCCTATAATCACAGTACACAAAAGTCTAAGACCAGAAGATTTTTGAGTTCCAGGCCATCCTGGGCAACTTAAAGAGACTGTGTTCTTCGGGGCAGGTGGCAGCCATTATGATCACTATGATGGTACACACTTGTAAGCCCAGTGGGTAACAAAAGTGTTCGTTGTTAGCTTGGATTCTCTATATAGTGAGTTTGAAGCCAAACTGGACTGGACTACATAGTCATTCTCTATCTTAAAAAAAAAAAAAAGGCTGAGCCACTGGCTTTGCAAATCCACACCTGTAGTAGAGCCTCTGGGTCCTCATAACAGAGCTTCCATAGGAAGAATGTGGGTCCCGTGGGTATTGAACGAAGGAAGACTACCTAGTAGTGGAAGTGAATGCCTTTAATCCCAGCACTCAGGAGGTAGAGACTGACTGGTCTCTGTGAGTTGTGAGTTCAAGGCTACATAATGAGTTCCAAACCAGCTAGTACTATAGGTGTGACCCTGTCCCAGAAAGAAAAAGTTGGCCTCAGTCTGATGTAGATCAATTCATAGAAAGGCCTAGTGAGGCCCTAGTGAGTTTGTGGAAAGGGAATGGTCAATCTGGAGAACTTTGGTTTGAAAGGAGTCAACCTTTCTTTCATGGATATAGATGTGTGTATCTTGGAAGGGCAGTATAGTCAGAAGTTTCTCTCCTGCCTGTTCTTAAATAATTGACTCCAAGACTTAATATTACTTATATATGCTCGGCCAGTAGCTCAGGCTTATTACTGACTAGCTCTTACATTTAATTAACCCATAATTATTTATGTTTGGCCATGTGGCTTGGTACCTTTTCTCAAAATGGCATTCTCCTCTTGCTTCCTCTATGTCTGGCCGACACTCCTTGACCCCACCCTTCCTTTTCCCAGCATTCTTAGTTTGGATTTCCCACCTAACTTCCTGCCCATGGGGGCTCATTCAAATCACCACATTCCCCACTGTTGTTCATTTTCCCAAATAGGCTCCTTTGTACTTTAATGTCTTCTTTTCAAATCTAGATGCTGCATGTTGAAAGAAACATGCAGTATTTATCTTTCTATATCATTTCTCTTAACATAATCTTCAGCCCCATCTTTTTCCTGTAAAGGACATCATTTCATTTTTCTTTTTCACTGAGTAAAACACTTAATGGGATACGATATAGTTAACTCCATTGTGCATATATGCCTATGACATATTTTCTTTATCCATTCATGTGTTTCTCTTCCCCCTCCTTTTTCCCCTTCTCCTTATATTTTATTCTGTTTTATGTTTCTGAGGATTGAACCCAGAGTCTTACATAGGATAAGCAAATAGTCTACCAGTGAGCTACTTCCCTAGCTCCTAGCCTAAATGTTTTAATATGATAAAGTATTACTTAATCATTCAGTGTTATAAATATCATGTAAGTGTATACAGAGTCTTTATCCCATGTACATTTGATAAGAGTTATAGCAGGATTTGCATTGTTTATGATTAGATATGTTTATGTTTATTTTCCTAACCTAGGGCCATTCCACTTGCCATTTTCCAAGCAGAGCCTACAGTGAGGAAACATTTTCTGAGGAAATGGCTAAAGAGTTCATCACTTCAAGACTTTGATATTCGCACAGTGAGTGCCAGTTATTTTTATTGGGGGAAGAGGGGTACACATGTGGAGATCAGAGCTTCTCTTCCATCATGTGGGTGCCAAAAATCTAAGTCAGGTCATGAGACAAGTGCCTAGGTCTACTGAGCCATATTGACACCTGTTAGCTATTTTTGTACTATTAAACGTTGAGAAAAAAAGCTAGTCAGAGCAAAATGTACCTGACTTGCATTATATGACTCAGAGTTTTACTTATGACTTCCTCTTTTGTGACTTGTGGTAGGTAGGGTAACAGAACACTCAGGACAGTGGTTCTCATCTTGTGGGTTGAGACCCCATAGGAGGTCAAGTGACCCTTTCACAGAGGTCTCCTGAGATCATTGGAAAACATAGATATTTACATTATCATTCATAATAGTTGCAGAATTAACAGTTATGAGGTAGTAATGAAAATAATTTCATGGTTGGGGGTCACCACAACATGAGGAACTGTATTAAAGGGTCACAGTATTAGGAAGGTTAAGAACCACTGGGCTAGAATATCAGGAAGCTAATGCTAGGGAAGCCTTGAAATTGCTCTTGAATAGAACAAGAATGAGGTATTATCTTAACCATCCACTGTTTCATGATCCTATAGTCTCATTAAGCTCTCTCCCAAATTTCTACCTCTAAAATGAGCATGGAGTTTCTAGAAGATGAAGTGAGACACATGCATTTAGTAATTATTGGCAAATGACAATGTAGACAATTGCTGCTTCTCATGTTTTGTGCATGCAGATTCTGGACTGGGACTACTACATAGAGCGGCTAGGAAGTGCCATCCAGAAAATCATCACTATCCCTGCAGCTCTGCAGCAGGTGAGACAAAAGCCAGGGATACCACGCTACACCGAATCACCAGCAGACCCACATAACACTTTTTCTGATCTGTATCTTCACTTAGGTGAAGAACCCAGTTCCACGTGTCAAACACCCAGACTGGCTGCATAAAAAATTGCTAGAAAAGAATGATGTCTACAAGCAGAAGAAGATCAGTGAACTCTTTGTCCTTGAAGGAAAGAGACAGGTAACACACAGGACACAGTGTACCAATGTCTGCAAGCTGCTATGCATAAATTTTCCATGTTTTGTTTTTGAGATGGGGTCTCTCTATGTAGCCTTGATGGTCCTAAAACTCCCTGTATAGACGAGGCTGGCCTTGAAGTCACAGGGATCCTGCCCCTGCATGTGCCACCCTGCCTGGCCCATAATTTCCCAATACTACCTCCAAAGAGACTTTTTATCTCTAAAAGTGTGCATTGTGGCACTTTATTCATTGGTGCCCTCCAGTGTCATTTTATATAACAGGAAGCAGATTATGAGTCATCAGGTAAATATGAAGAACTCACTTATATGTAAAAAAATGATGAGGTATGCAAACTAGACATAGTGACCTGAACTGATTACTACTGTAGACTTCAGTTTTTTCAACAAAATGAAAGTCTTTCCTGGAGACACACTGAAGACTGCACAATGAAAAGTATAGGTAAGAAGCTGGAGATGCTCATCTGCTAAGAGCCCTTCCTGCTCTTCACAGGACACAGTTCTGTTCCCAATACCCATGTCTGGTGGCTTACACCCACCTGAACCTCCAGCTCCAGGGAATCCAACACCCTTTTCTGGCTTCTGCAGACCCCTGCGTACACATGGCATATGCTCACACAGACATACACAAAAGTAAAAATTAATCTTTTAGAAACAGTATAGCTAAAATTAGAGGCAGAGGGCCTGGAGAGATGGATCAGCGGTTCAGAGCACTGGCTGCTCTTCCAGAGGTCATGAGTTCAGTTCCCAGCAACCACATGATGGCTTCTAACCATTTATAATGAGATCTAGCACCCTCTTCACGCATGCAGGCAGAACACTGTATACATAAATAAATCTTAAAAAAAAAAATTATCCAGGCAGTGGTGGCACACGCCTTTAATCCCAGCACTCGGGAGGCAGAGATATGTCTGGATCTCTGTGAGTTTGAGGCCAGCCTGGTCTACAGAGCGAGATCTAGGACAGGCACCAAAACTACACAGAGAAGCCTTGTCTTGAAAACAACAACAACAAAAAATTAGAGGCAGAAAAATTTTCTTTTAAATTTTTATGTGTGTGGTATTTTTGTCTGCATATATGTCTGTGAGGTTCTTACTTGCCTAGTACCATGGAGTCAAGAAGAGGGTGTTGGATTCCCTGAAACTGAAGTTAACAGATGGTTTAAGCCAACATGTGTCTCCTAGTAATTGAACCCAGGTCCTCTGGAAAAGCTCTTAACTGCTGAGCCATCAGCCCCAAGAAAAGTTTTATGGGTTGAAAATTAGAAGTGTAGCTATTTATGTCTTATGCCTATAATCCTAGTAGTTGGGAGGCAGAGACAGGAAGGTGAATATGAGTTCAAGGCCAGGCTGGAGTACAGTATGATGCACTCTATCTCAAAACAAAAGTAAAAGTGAGCTATAAGCCAGAATGTTATAGAGACTCAATAATAGACAATTCCTGAAATAGATTGTGTGTGCGCGTTCTCAAGGCAGGGTTTCTCTGTGTATCCCTGGCTGTCCTGGAACTCCCATTGTAGACCAGACTGGCCTCAAACTTAGAGATCCATCTGCCTGCCTCTGCGTCTCCAGTGCTAGGATTAAAGTCCTATGCCACCATGTTGGCTTATTTTAATTTTTCAGACAGGGCCTTAGGCCAGGCTGGTCTTTAACCCTCTGTGTAGCAGAAGCTGGTCTTGCTTCACTCTCCTGAGTGCAGGGATTTTAAGTGAAGAATATAAATATTTTTACATTAGCAAGCATAAGCATAGTATTTTAAAATTCTGGAATCTGCCAGGCAGTAGTAGCACATGCTTTTAATCCAGTATCTTGGGGAGACGGGCAGGCAGATCTCTGATTTGAGGTCAACCTGGTCTACAGAGCAAGTTCCTGGACAGCCAGGACTACACAAAGAAACTCTGCCTCAAAAAAATAAATAAGTAAAATCTTGAATCTTGTTTTAAGACAGTGTGTCACTAATATAATCCTGACTGGCCTTGAACTCAGTATCTGCTTGCTTCTGCCTCCTGAGTGCTAGGATTAAAGGGCTGTGCCACCATGCCCCCCAACAAATCTTAATCTTCTGTCATTGGCAGGACTCTTAAATTATTGCATTACTTATTTACTTTTATGTAATTGTGTGTTGTATGTATGTGAAGAGTTCTTGGGAAATCAAACTCAGGTTGTCAGATTTGGAGGCCTACTAACCTACTGAGCCATCTTGTGTCTCTACAAGTCTTGATTCACTATATAATTATATATAGTGATTCACTATACAATATATATAGAATATATAATTCTAACAATTATATATTCCTTGAATTCAACCAAAAATTTTCCTGAAGTTTAAAAAATGTTTTTCTGGGGCTGGAGAGATGGCTCAGAGGTTTAGAGCACTGCCTGCTCTTCCAGAGGTCCTGAGTTCAATTCCCAGCAACCACATGGTGGCTCACTACCATCTGTAATGAGATCTGGCGCCCTCCTCTGTATACATAATAAATAAATAAATCTTTAAAAAAAAGAAAAAAAAAAAGGGAATAAGCCATGTTCTTAAAAAAAATGTTTTTCTGAAATAAAAGAAAAACTGACAATTATTTTGGAAAATTTTAACATAAACTCAGTTGATAAATGAGCACATCACAAACTAGTAAAACTATAAAATTAATGTGTATAAGTATTTTGCCTAAATGTATATATGTGCATGATATGCATGCCTGGTGCCACAGAGATTAGAAGAGCCATCTCTCTAGACTCCTAACTAGGTTTTTAAATAGCTACATTTAATGCACAAATAAAATCTTATGCTCCATAATTAGGGGCTAGAGAGATAACTCGGCATGTAAGAGCATAGGCTGCTTGCTCAGATTGTATGCATTAGTGATTAACTCCAGGTCACCAATAATGCTTTGGTGTTGAATTAAGGAAAGAAATAAAATCACTTCCCCTTGGAGTCATTTAACCACAAGCTAGTTCATATATGAATTCTCTACTTAATGCTCTCTGTGTCTTCCATCCTGTCTGTCTGTTGTATGAGTCTGAATCTGTGCCATAAAGTCTGTCTTATAAATTTGTTTGTCCCTGTTGTCTGTCTGTCTGTTTCTGTCTATTGGTCTGTGCAAATGGTATCTGTCTCTATGTATCTGTCCCTAACAAAGGGCTTTTTTCTGTATTTGTTGAACAGCATAGAAAGTATTATGTGGGGAAGGAATGGAGTACTTTATAGAAATATTTAACAGTTTTACAAGGCACCAACTAACCCAGATAATAAACATCATTGTTTATCAACCGGTATCCATAAATGGATGCTTTCAGTTTTTGTGGTAGATTTTAGGAAGTTGCTTTCAACTTCTATATTTGCTGCTTTCAGCAAATGATACATTTGCATTATCTGGGTCAGGGACATGGAAGAGTACCTGATTTAAGATTATAGTTATGCATTAGCTTAAGTTATAAAAGTTGGCTACATGGGAAATTCAAGGCAACTAAGGTTAATTGTTACATTTACATTGCTCTCTTAAAAGCAGGATCAACAGTTACAGTAAGCTAGCAGTCTTGTTCCAATTAACCTCAAGGCATAATAATTAATAATAATAATGAGAAAACACTTATTCTTAGCTGGTTCTGTTGTAGACGTGTAATTACAGCTACTGGGAAGGTTGAGGCAAGAGGATCCTAAGTTCAAAGCCAACCTGAGCTATAGAGTGCAATTCTATCAAAAAAAAAAAAAAAATGAAAAAGAACCATTAAAACAGTTCTGTCTTGGGAAACACTCACATTTGGGTGGATGTTGTTTTCCTAAGTGCCCTCTTCTTTTCTCCCTTAATACTTATGCTTAAATTAACTATGTTAAAACTTCAGCTCTGACTCAAAGCAACCTTGTAAAAAGGACTCACCAATACACACATCTTTTGAATGAATTACCATTCTCTAATAAATAATTGGAAAACTTAGAATGGACAGCTTCCTTTGGAGAATTAAGACAAATGATCTAATTCCAATGCTTCTAAACAAAGACAGGCATATCTCTGGGAGTTCTAGACCAGCTTGATCTACATAGAGAGTTCCAAGGTAGAGCTACATATTGAGATCCTTTTTTTTTTTTAAAGTTGTTAGTCTATTAGCCCATTTCAGCAGATGTACAGTGTTAGAATTCTGTGACAGAATTTACCAGATTGAGATTCTGAATTAATAAGTCTTGGTTGTGTCTCCCCAGATTGTGATGGCACAGGCTTCAGAAAACAATCTGAGTGTCTGCACTCCAGACATCGAGGACTTTGGACTCACAAAGCCATACCACTCTGCAGTCCCAGTTGCTACTAAGAGGAAGCGAGTCTGGGAGAGCCAAGAGGAGTCTCAGGATATTGCACTAACTGTGCCCTGGCAAGAGGTCTTGGGGCAGCCTCCCTCCCTCGGAACTACCCAAGTAAGAAACAAGGAAGCCAGAAGGGATGTGGGAAAGTTGCTCTGGCACTCTGTCTCGTAGAGGTCTGCTACATAGTGTGGGGATCCTAAGGCAAATCCTGTCCCTGGAACAAGTTGCGGAAATGCCTAAGTGTTAGAGAGCATTTGAAACTCCAGAAGCTTAGGAATAAAAAGCAGGCTGTTGGAGAAAGGTGTCAGCAATTGTGCATTGTTATCTGTCCCAGGAAGAGTGGTTGGTCTGGCTCCAGTTCCACAAGAAAAAGTGGCAGCTACAGGCCCAACAGCGCCTGGCCCGCAGGAAGAAGCAACGTCTAGAGTCAACAGAGGATGTGCCAAGGCTTGGGGCTATCCGAGAGGGACCTGCCACGGGGCTGGGAAGCTTTTTGCGACGGACTGCCCGAAGTATTCTGGACCTTCCATGGCAGATTGTACAGGTGTGGGCCTTCATCCATGGGAGTGGCAAGATGTTGAGAGCAGTCCTTTATGGGCTCAAAAGAGGGAGTGTGCAGCCAGTCCTGCAGTATAAGATGGAAGATAAGAAAGGCCTTCAGTAGGCTGGTTGGCAGTGGCACACACCTTTAATTCCAGCACTTGGGAGCCAGAGCCGGGCAGATCTCTGAGTTTGAGGCCAGCCTGGTCTACAGAGCGAGATCCAGAAAATGCACCAAAGCTATGTAGAGAAACCCTGTCTCAGAGGGGAAAAAAGGCCTTCAGCTTCCTGCCTATCCCTATCATAGGGGTCCTGTACATAGAGGGGATGTGGGCAAGGCTGGAGGCTGCTTGGGAGGTGGCCTGTTCACAGGTGTCAGTATGTTATGTGATTATGTGCTATGTATTCTGCATTTCCTCCTAGATCAGTGAGACCAACCAGGCTGGTCTCTTCAGGCTATGGGCCATCATCGGCAGTGACTTGCACTGCATCAAGCTGAGCATCTCTCGAGTATTCTATGTGAACCAGCGGGTAGCCAAAGCAGAGGAAGGACCTTCATATCGAAAGGTAGGGAAGCCACTGGTATTGCTGGTCACCTCTGAGGCATCTCCACATGATGGAGGCCACACAAAGAATTGATCAAGAGCATGGACTTGCAGACCCAAAGTGAGCCATGTGGTCTTGTTTCCATCTCCCAGTACATTATTGATACTGGGATCTTGTGAAGAGTTAATTGAAACCATGTCTATGAATGTTCAGTGCTGCAAGCTGCAAAAATATATGAAGTAGGATTTCAGCTGATTATGACAAGCTAATACCTGGAAGAAGCCAAGAGCCTTCCAGAGGTCAAGCTGAGGCTCAAGGAATCTTGCTGATACTGGCTTTTGATTATTAGCCATTTGTTACTTTGAATTTCTCATGTGCTGTTGTAGCTTTTCCATCATTCTTTGGGCACAGTTTCCCCTCTACTAAGGAATATTTAGATAACCTTCTGAGCAGTATCACAGCCAGGATCCCTAATTTCAGGCCTTTCTGTAATTATTGTCATTAGCAGCATCTGTCCAGGACCATCCCCAGAGGGATGAAAGTATCTTATCAGAGATACCTCTGTACTCTCTAGGAACAGACTTAAGCATCCAGACTATCTGTTTGAGAAGGCCTGGTGGATGTGCTAATTAAGCCTAACTTTCTTCTTTCCAAAGTCTTATCTCTAGTTTTAGATCCACCCTTAACAATTAACTCAGAACTAAAGGGTTCCAACTTACAGGTACATCTAGCTGTGATGGAAGTTGCCTAGCCAAGTTGCCTAGCGACCTAGCACACTTGCCAGAAAAGGCAGGAGCAGAGATAGCTTGGAGAGATAAGGGCCAAAGGGATAAAAAGGCAGTTTTATTTTCAGAGAACGACGAGACGAAGAAGAGAATGGAAGAACTAGATGGGTAAGAACTGGAGAGGAACGAACTGCAATGGGGAAGGACTAGATTGAAGAGCTAAAAGAGAGTACTAGAGGAACAAGCTGGAAGATGAGGAAGAGCCAGATAAGGAAGAACAAGATGAGGAAGAAGGAGATGAGAGAGGAGCTAAGATGGGAAGGAACTAGATGAATGAGAACCTAAATGAGGCAGAACTTAAGATGAGAGAATTAAGATAGAACTTAGAGGATAGCAGATAAATATAGAGAAAAATCAGGCAAGAAAGAAGCTAGGCATGAGAGCAGAATAGAAGCTGTGTAGAGAGAGAACTAACTCAGAAGAATAAAGTGTATGGACTAAAGAGTTTCGTGTACGTAAATTCATTTCTTATCAAAGATTTAATTGTCAGCTGATTGTAGATTCTTCCCAGACCCTAGGAGGGGACTATTGAGGGGCTGGACCCCCATAGTCTTCGATAGTTCAGGAATAGGGGCTGCTGCTCTCCATCAACCTGATGAGCAGGAGAGGATTGGATAGAGGTTGCAAGTAGTTTCTGTAAGTACTGTTGTAGTTACCAGCATTATTGGGATATAAGTTTACCTACTATATAGCCTATTCATTGGAAGAATATAATTCAGTGGTTTTTTGTGAATTCATGGTAATATGACTATAGTCAAAATTTCAGACTTCATCATCCCCAAAAGAAGCCTGTATTTCTCAATTGCCTCTGTCCTCTGCAGCCCTAGGCAACCAACCACTATCCCATTTTCTGCCTATTCACAACATCTCAGAAATGTAGTCATACTTTAGGTTCTTTGCAGAGATTCAGAAGATTTTGAGGAAGCTGTATTTATGTGACATCTCAGTTGGAGTGACCCACTTGACTCAGAATGTTAACTTAGGCCAAAGCTGGTTTATGTTACAGTCTGCTCAGAGTTGGACATTAACTATATACAAGGAACACCTGGGTGAGGTACAAAATTGTAGATGAAAAATGTGAGGTCTGATTTCAGTCCATTGACTTGGTGAAACGTGAGCCTAGAAAGTGGGCAGGGTTTATCAGGATAATAGACACATGAGACTGATGGGTTTCCATATGTGTAGAGCTGTGTATAGTGATTGTAGATTATAGAGAGTGTCTACACTACTAAACTCCTTTTCCTTTGTGATTATCTGCTCCCTCTGGAGAAACTCAGTTTCACTGTGTGCATTGGGATTTGGTGATGACTGTTACCTCCTGGGGGTTTCAGGATGGAGGTTCTCTACTCTGCCCTTTCTGTGTAAGAACTTTGTATAGCAGTTAGAATTGAATCTTTTTCAGGATGGAGGTATTCATTGAGACAGGCACTCATATAGTTCGAGCTGGCCTTGAGTTTGCTATGAAACTAAGGCTAGCCGGGTGGTGGTGGTGCACACCTTTAATCTCAGCACTTGGGAGGCAGAGCCAGGCGGATCTCTATGAGTTTAAGGCCAGGAGTGAGGTCCAGGACAGGCACCAAAGCTACACAGAGAAACCCTTTCTCAAAAAACAAAAACAAAAAAAAACACCTGAGGCTAGCCTTCAATTCCTGATCCTCCTGCCTCCATCTGCCAAATGCTGGGATTATAGGCCCCTGTTACCTACTTAGCTCATGAATTATGTTTTTGTCAATGCTAGAAATCAAACCCAGGGTCTAATGAATTCCTAGGCCCACACTCTATTTTCCCCCACCCCCAGCACAGAGATAAACTAGTTTCTTCCTTAAAAAGTGAGATATTTACTATTTTGCCCTTAAACTATATTATTTCCAGGGTAATGAATGGCAAGTAGATTTTTTTTCTTTCCTTCCTTCCTTCCTTCCTTCCTTCCTTCCTTCCTTTTTTTTTTTTTTATGCTTAAAAAGTATTTCAGGGCTGGAGAGATGGCTCAGCAGTTAAAAGCAATGGCTGTTCTTCAGAGGACCTTGGTTCACTTCCCAGCACCCACATGGCAGCTCACAACTATCTGTAATTAAAGTTACAGAGGATCTGACACCCTCACACAGACATTCATGAAGTCAAAACACCAATGCACATTGAATGAATGAATGAATGAAGGAAGGAAGGAAGGAAGGAATTGCTATGAGCCTGGGTGGAATGGTCCTTACTTATTATCCCAACACTCAGGATGCCAGGGCAGGAGGATTTCAAGTTCAAGACCAGTCTGGGTTACATAGCAAGACTCTTATCTTAAAAACAAACAATTAAAAAACAATGTTACTCTGAACTTAGGAATGCATGTATTGTTGTTTAGTATCTTTTTTTTTTCTCTTTTTTTTTTTTTTTAAGATTTATTTATTTTATGTCTGTGAGTGCTCTGTCTGCATGTGCCAGAAAAGGGCATCAGAGCCCCACTATAGGTGGTTGCTAGCTACCATATGGTTGCTGGGAATTGAACTCAGGACCTCTGAAAGAGCATCCAGTGCTCTTGACCACTGAGTCATCTCTCCAGCCCTATTGTTTAGTATCTTATAATCAATTACAGCCTGCATTACCTGATGCAATAAATAACATAGTTGTGGATTGATTTCCATCAGTTTTGAAAAATGTGTCTACCTGAATCACTCGCATCACCATCCAGGTAGACATTACCACCTCCCTAGAGCGTATTTGTCCACCCCGCCATACTACTAGTGTGTGAGGTCCACATTTATGTAACTACAGATGCATTTGACCTATTAGAGCTTCGTGTCAATGTGTCGTTCCATAGATGCTATAATTACCTTTCTGAGTCATGGTATCTGATATTGGCCCAGGTGTTGTTTGTATCAGTGGAGACGTATTAAGATATAAACTACACATCCAGTGTGTACACAGTCCTTGTCAGCAACATCAAGTAGTCTGTAGGATGAGCTGGGGATTTCCCTTTTTTGTCTTTTCCATTTCCTACCTCTCCATTTTCCAGTTAGCTATTAAAGAAACAACTATCACCAGCTTGGTTTTATTTTTCCAGGCTTTGTTTTGTTTATTTAAATACAATAAAATGGTCTTTTTAAGGTAATGCTGCATGGGTGATGGTGGCCAGGGTTGCATGACATTCAAGATACAAAACATTTCTGTCATCCTTAAATCACCATGCTATGGTTTCTTTTCACCCCCATCCTTGGACACTGGTCTCTGTCCCTTGTAGTCAGAAGTTTTCCTGTTTCCCACCCAGTCCCTCAGCTGCTTGGACCCAAGTAAACACACAGAGGCTTATATTACTTAAAACTATATGGCCCATTGGCTCAGGCTTTTCGCTAGCTAGCTCTTAGAACTTAACTCTTGATCATTTCTGTTAATTGATGCATTGCCACATGGCTTCGTGGCTTACGGTACTTTCACATCTTGCTTCTTCTAGCAGCAACTCGAAGCATCTGCTCCACTCTCCTTTTTTTTCTCTCTCCAGTTCAAATGTACCGCCTAACCTTATTCTGCCTTACCATTAGCCAAACAGCTTTATTTATCAACCAATCAGAGCAACACATATTCACAGCATACAGAAAGTCATCCCATAGCAGTCCCTATAGCATTACCTTTTTAGAATGCCCTTTTATGGGATCATATTGTACTCTGAAATTTGAATCTGGCTGCTTTCATGTAGTTTGCCATTAAGATTTGCCAGAGGGGAAGACGAGGAACTGTTTGCTAGTTGGTGCTCTGTAAGCTATCTATCTTCTTTGTTGTTGTTGTTGTTGTTTTTGTTTTTGTTTTTGTTTTGTTTTGTTTTGTTTTTGTTTTTCGAGACAGGGTTTCTCTGTGTAGCTTTGCACCTGTCCTGGAACTCGCTCTGTAGCCCAGGCTGGCCTCGAACTCACAGAGATCCACCTGGCTCTGCCTTCCAAGTGCTGGGATTAAAGGTGTGTACTACCACCACCTGGCACCTTTTTTTATTCTGAGGCCTCATGACACTGCTTCATGCATGTATTTAGTGGGAACGAGAGTAGATGGTGACTACTTGGTTGTAAAAATCTTTTTTCAGTTTTTTGTTTGTTTGTTGTTTTCTCTTGTGTTTTTTTTTTTTTTTTTTTTTGGTTTGGTTTGGTGCCTCTTGTGCAGATTTTGTTATTTTATTGAAGCAGTTTTATTACATTGGCCCATTTTATTCTCAGCTGTCGTTCCTCAGCCTCTGCTGGGATTACAGGTGTATGAACCATCCTGTCTAGTTCATGGTAGGCCACAGATATAGCTGCCATAAAGCTTTTATTAATTGTAATGTGTGAGTCATCCCAGGGCTAGCATTTGATGATTCTCTTCTCCCTTGAGAATTATTCATTTTTCCCTGATTGTTACATCAAGAAATGTATTCCATAGTGGACATTTTGCATTTGATATTGTGAAACTTTGGGCATTTATATGAAAAAAAGTCCTTGGGCTGGTGAAATGGCTCAGTGAGTAAAGGGGATTGCTTACAAGCCTCTCTGAGCCCACATGGTCGTAGAGAACAGAGTCCTTCAAGTTCTTGTCTTCTGACCTCAACCTGCACACACACACACACCCAATAGATAAATAAATGGTTTTCTTTTTTAAGTTGTTTAATCCTGTAGAGAATGTTGAGGCAGCCAATCCAGTTAATTTAGACCCCAAGTTCAATCTTGCCTTTTTTGTATAAAGGTTCTGTTGTCAGCTCAATTTTCAAGTCCTTTGTGTTCCTCTGAGCATGTCTGTATGTATTTGCATCTTGAGTGAGGCTGTGAGGCTGGGGTTTGAGTTGGCTTGTGAAGATAATGAACAGTGTGTCTCCTCTCCATGAGGAGACATGTACCCAGTACACACATAGGGTTGCCCCATCAGCTCCCTTCTAGTTCTCTGGCCAGAAAAGTGTATTTTTCTGTGAGTTTTAGGTACCTACAAATTCCAGAAAAGTGTTGATGATGCCTCAGTTGGAAAGCATTCATGATTTTCCCAGATGCCTCAGGTTGCTGTTTTAGATTATGCCTTGGTCTTTTAATTGTGATCCTTGAAGCAGGTGAACTGACCATCTTGGGTCCTGAAAGCCCTGGGTCAGTGGTCCACTCTAGACTGGCAGGCTCATCACTACAATTGTCACCAGGTGAATCGGGCTCTTCCTCGTTCCAACATGGTCTACAATCTCTATGAGTATTCAGTACCAGAGGACATGTACCAAGAACACATCAACGAGATCAACACTGAGTTGTCAGCACCAGACATTGAGGGCGTGTATGAGACTCAGGTGATTGTCTCCCTGGCCACTGATACTTGGGTAAAGATGAAGCTGGATGATAAGAAAAGAGATCCCATAAGGAATCGGGCAGGGGATAGTAGCTGAATTAAATAGTCGTGGGCATGGGTTGGGGAAGCCACATAGGAAAGTAGCTCTCAGCAGCATGTCTACCTATGGTGGCCTCTTCTGAGTGAAGACAGGCTGTGCTGGGATGTGTGGCCTCAAATTGAGCTGTAGTGCTAGAGTCTTCCATTTGGCCCAACACACTACCCATTCTTCCAGGTCCCGTTGTTATTCCGGGCCCTTGTACAGCTGGGCTGTGTGTGTGTAGTCAACAAACAGCTGGTAAGGCACCTTTCAGGATGGGAAGCTGAAACCTTTGCCCTCGAGCACCTAGAAATGCGTTCACTGGCTCAGTTCAGCTACTTGGAACCAGGTATGGCCCCACCAACAGCCCTATCACCTGCTCTGCCCCCCTTGCATCTCAGGCAACGGGTTTACTTTCTTCTACAGGGAGTATCCGCCACATCTACCTGTACCACCACTCACAGGGCCACAAGGCACTCTTTGGTGTCTTTATCCCCTCTCAGCGAAGAGCATCTGTGTTTGTATTGGATACTGTGAGTCCTTGGGCACAGGGCACATGAGAATATGTGGGTCAGGTGGGATATGGGGAAGAAAGACACTCCTCTTGCCATTCAATTAGAAATAGAAAGGTGGGCTGGTATACACCTTTAATCACAGCACTTGGGAAGCAGAGGCAAATGGATCTATAGGTTCAAGGTCTGCCTAGTCTACAGAGTGAGTTCCAGGACAGCCAGGGCTACACAGAGATACTGTGTCTCAAAAACCAAAAAAGGAAAAAAAAATAGAAAGGAGTGACTATTCAGCTTCTCTCTCTCTCTCTCTCTCTCTCTCTCTCTCTCTCTCTCTCTCTCTCTCTCTCACACACACACACACACACACACACACACACACAGTAGCCTAACAGTTGGTGTTTGCCTAGGTGCGCAGCAACCAAATGCCCAGCCTCAGTGCCCTGTACTCAGCAGAACATAGCCTGCTACTGGAGAAGGTGGACCCCAAGCTCCTCCCTCCCCCCAAACACACCTTTGAAGTTCGTGCTGAAACCAACCTGAAGACGATCTGCAGAGCTATCCAACGCTTCCTGCTTGCCTATAAGGTAAGAGAACTTGGGGTCCAGTGGTGGGAGTTTCCCATCCCAAGGCTTTGCCCACTGAGCCCATTCTGCCTTCTGCTCAACCCAGGAAGAACGCCGGGGGCCCACACTCATCGCTGTCCAGTCTAACTGGGAGCTGTGTAGACTGGCCAGTGAGATTCCTGTCTTAGAGGAGTTCCCACTGGTGCCTGTCCGAGTGGCTGACAAGATCAGCTATGGAGTTCTGGACTGGCAGCGCCATGGAGCCCGCCGAATGATCTGGCACTACCTCAATTTAGACACTTGCCTTTCACAGGCTTTTGAGATGAGCAGGTGAGGAATAGGGTGTAGCTCAGTAGTAGAACTTAGCTAGAAAGTGCGATTCCCAGTACCACACACACCAGAAGAGAGATAAGTAAGTGAGGCCATAGGCTGGGTGCCTACAGGTGTTACTCTGTGGGTGGTCCCTAAATGATGCTAGTGTGCTTTAGACTGAACCTGTACCCCTGTGCAGGTATTTCCACATCCCCGTTGGGAACCTACCAGAAGACATTTCCACCTTTGGCTCCGACCTTTTTTTTGCACGCCACCTCCAGCGCCACAACCACCTGCTTTGGCTGTCTCCTACCTCTCGGCCTGACCTGGGTGGGAAGGAAGCTGATGACAATCGCCTTGTCATGGAGTTTGATGATCGAGCCACTGTGGAAATCAATAGTCCTGGCTGTTATTCCACTGGTGAGTGAGAGAAGGGAAAGATAGGTACTTCCACCCCACCATTTAATGACTCCTTATCACATGGAGCTCAGTGCTCAACGATGTGGAATAAGCCCAAAGGCAAGTCTTGAGAAATGGGTACCAGCAAGTCAGATGTCATGTGCCATGTCTGACCTCACTAGGCAGCACTGACCAGCTCAGCCTGAGAGATGATCCTAGTGCTGGCTAGGGTACATGGACAAACTGTTTCCTTGCAGTGTGCGTGGAGTTGGACATTCAAAATCTGGCAGTCAACACCATCCTCCAGTCCCACCATATCAATGACATGGAGGGGGCTGGCAGCATGGGCATCAGCTTCGATGTGATTCAGCAGGCCTCCCTAGAGGACATGGTCACAGGCAATCAAGCTGCCAATGCCCCAGCCAGCTATGATGAGACAGCCCTCTGCTCTAGCACCTTCAGGTATCTACCCTCATGTAATGTGCTACCTTCCTAGACAAGGCAACAGGGCGATGGCAACCTCCACTTTAGAATGCCAAAGCCAAAGTAAGCAATACATTTTTTTATTTTTTGACAGGATCTTTATGTAGCCCTTGATGGTCTGGGACTCACTATGTAGACTAGGCTGGCCTCGAATTTATAGAGATCCACATACCTCTGCCTTCCAAGTGCTGGGATTAAAGGCATATACCACACATCGCCTTTTTTTTTTCTTAAGATTATTATTTCAGTTGTGTGTATGTGCATGTGAGTGTAGGTGCCCACAGAGACCAGAGGAGTTGGATACCCTGGAACGGGAGTTACAGGAGGTTGTAAAACATTGGTGTGGGTGTTGGGAATTGAACTCCAGTCCCTGTAGAGGAGTAGTACATGCTCTTAACTGCTGTGCCTTCTCCAGTGTCAGAATTAGCATCCCTGAGATGTCTCTTCCTTGAGTCATACTGCAATCAAGGGTCCCCATGTCCCTGAGCATACCCTGCCTAGTTACTAGTAGGCAATACAAGTGCTACCATCTGACCTTTTGAGGCCAGAAGCTTTTCTCATGAAGAACATTTTAATACATAATTGTTTTCAGTGTAATCAAAGAAGTATCTGCAGGAAATTCCCAGGGCACCCAGCCTAGTGAGTCATAGTAGCCAGAATCATCTGTCAGGTATGGTCAGCCCTGGCTCCTAGTAATGGAACAGTGTATATTGCAGAGTGGTTCCTTTGTGCCACAAATGTATAGCACTTTCACTCTGCCGATATTCCCATAGACCTGCAAAGTAGTGTAGTCTTCACCCATGCTAGAAATGACAAAGCCAAACTCAGAGGGTCTGAGGTCTTGATGTGTTGTTCCTGTGGCTGAGTATGAGGTAGTCATTTCATGTCTGTGATTCGAAAACACGTATTTCAGCCCTGTTGCCTCCAAATGGAAAGAAAAAAGGAATTGCTAAGGTAAGAAGTAGGCTAGGAGGGCTGAGAGCAGAGTTGTGGCAGAAAAAAAATATTTCAACCCTGAGCAGCAGGTGAAGATCAGACACAGATGATAGAGACTACCAGTTGAGAGAAGTGGGTATTTGTACAGGAAGCCATAAAAGTGGCTGCAGCATCTTGGCTCAGATACTCTGGCTCCTCCATGACTCAAGTCCAGTTTGTGCTACCTGAGTGTTAAATTGGCCCCAGGAACCTCCCCTATATCTCACTGGTGTCTAGAAAACCCAACTTGGGCTAGTCCCTGGTTCTTTACATGGAAGGCACATAATCAACTCTATGATTCTTCATTCCTACTCTTCTGACAGTGATACCCCACCCCATCTCAAAAAAAAAAAAAGGCATATACTATTATTGCAAAGGACATGAGTTTATTCCCATGTTGAGTAGTATCTGATATCTCTGGCTTCTATGGGCACCTATACTCACTGTACATTCTCTCACAGCTATATGTAAGTTTCTAAAAATTAAAAAAGTCTTAAGGACAAAAGCCTATCATATGTCTTCTTGTCCAGGTGTGGTGAGCAAGTTAGGGAGTTATATAGAGAAAAGTGGTAAGGAGGTGAAGCCCACAAGTTATGGGACCAAGGAATGAAATTTAGACAAAGGCAGTTAGGGATTATGAGAAAGGACAGTGATGCCAGCAGCAACATATGGTATTGGTCATCATCCTTTGCCATCTTTCAGGATCCTGAAGAGCATGGTAGTTGGCTGGGTAAAGGAGATCACACAGTACCACAATATCTATGCTGACAATCAGGTTATGCACTTCTACCGCTGGCTCCAGTCACCATGTTCTCTGCTCCATGACCCAGCCTTGCACCGGACACTACACAATATGATGAAGAAGCTCTTCTTGCAGTGAGTGTTCACCCCGGGCTATGGGCTGAGGGGCACAAGCCAAGTGGCTATGGGAAGCATAGAGCCCAGGGCAAGCTTAGCTACTATTGTGGCTCTGTGCATTCATCTTTCCAGAAAGCTAGGTAAAGCATCATAGTACTACTTCCTTTTTGTATTAATGTGTTCTCATGCACCTTGTTTGTTTTAGTAATGCACCATGGCTGAGTGTAGTGGTCCATGCCTTTAACCTCAACGGTTGGGCAGAGGCAAGTGCATCTCTGTGAGTTCAAGGCCAGACTGGTCTACATGTTAGTACCAGGCCAGCCAGGACTAATAGTGAGATCCTGTCTCAAAAACAAAAGGAAACACCTTACACTTAAGTGTGAATGTACCATACTAATGTACAATCAGCTATGTCTAATGTTGTGATATTAGAAGTAATGAATGAGTCAACATTGGAACCATGACTCTAGCAAGTGATTAGGTACACTTGCTGCTCTTGCAGAGAACTTAGGTTCATTTCTCAGCATCTATGTGGTGGCTCACAACCGTCCATAAGGCCAATTCCAAGAGATCTGACACTCTCTTCTGGGCTTCTGGCCTTTGCTGACACTGCACACATACAGTATATTTAACATATGTGCAAGCAAAACACTCCTAAAAATAAATCTAAAAAGAACGGTTTTCTTTTTTTAAAGCGAGATTGTGAAGTTAGATGGGTAGGGAGGTGGAGGAGGAGGAAGGGAAAGAGTATCAAAATACATTGTAGGAAATTCTTTTTGGTTTTTCCATTTTTCCAGTTTCTCTATATAGCCCTAGCTGTCCTGGAACTCATTCTGTAGACCAGTAGACCACACTGGCCTTAAACTCAGAGAACTGCCTGCCTCTTGAGAGCTAGGATTAAAGGTGTTTGCCACCACCACTAGGCTGGGCTGTAAGAAATTCTTAGGATTGCCGGGCGGTGGTGGCGCACGCCTTTAATCCCAGCACTCGGGAGGCAGAGCCAGG